TATAGAATAGAAATTGAATTCTGCTTCTAACTTTCTAAAAATTATTCCGCTTTTCTCTACCTAAAACGGAAGTAACTTCAGTGATTTCAAATTAGAATTTTCCATTATGTCTGTAAGCTCTTTGAAGGGGAAGACAAATAAAAGCAATTCTATTATATTTTTTAATACACTCATTTATTCTTCTGACACATAGGATTACCATGCATTTTATGATCGGCCTGGAAAGTATGGCCGAGCTGAGTTGACATGTGGTCAGAATGTTTTCTGATTGGCCTGGAAAGTATGGCCGAGCTGAGTTGACATGTGGTCAGAATGTTTTCACATCACTCTCTGGTACATCTTGCAGGAATGGCTTGAGGGAAGCTAGCTTCAGCTGCTTCCGGTAGAAGCCCATGAGGTTAAAGGACTAAGCAGAGCGTGCTCGAAAGGTTTTAAAATCCAGCCATGCCAGTGCTTACACAGCATCCGCTGTAACCTCTTTCTTCATTTTGCATCTGGGAAGCAGAGGTCCCAAGAGCTGCCCGCATTCGCCCAAGGTCACACAGCTGGTTAAGTGGGCAATGAAAGACCTAACCAGGGTCTGAATTTAGTTGATCTCTTGAGTATTTATTTACTTCTGTAAGTCCTTCCCCTGTAACTACCTCTCAATTATTTATGGGGTGATTATCTAGTTTATAGATTATTCAGTTTCTTTCTTTTCTCTTTCCATTTCCCTGTTTATTATCATATGTACCATGGAGTGAGCAAGAAAACAGGATTTGAATATTGCCTTGACAATTTATTGACCTACCTCCTACTGGGTTTTTATGTAAGTGCTCAAAATGCAGCAGCTATTGGCTAAAAGGAATTTGGGGAGCAACAATCAATGCTAAGCTGTATTCAGGTGAATTTTTCTTCCTTTGAAGTCGGCTTCAGAGCCTAATTCTCTTGCTGGTAGTAATACTCGCTTTATCTCAGGAAGGACTAGATGAGAAAGTCTTTACAATGAAATTACTTAATTATCTCCCTTCCTCAAGGAAGTCATAAATCAGGAGGGTAGCCAGCTTTTGGAAAGAAAGGTCACAGCGTGTCCATTACCACCTTGGAGGGACAAAAAGGGAGAAATAAAGAGAGGCGACAAAAGGACTGAAAAAGCCTAACCGGTTTCCTGTAATTCCTGAGAGCTGAATTTACTGCACGCCTTCATTCCTTTCGGTTCAGAGCACCGAATTCCCTGATCAAATCCAGTGTTACTCAAATATAGCGGCCAAGCGTATAAATGAATTTTGAATTGCCACAATGCTGGCTTGTTTCGTTCCAGTAGAAGGCAGAGAGCTGAGTCAGTATGTGAATTTTATTAAACTCCTGTTTCCTAAATCATGACTAAAAGTGAATGAGCTGTATAAGTGTTGTTTCAAATTAGTATGATGGCCTTTTACATTTTCAGATATTTCTGTATGCTGGTGGCTTGAGAGTGAGTCCAGAGTTCAAAGTCCTTCATTTTAAAGCCTATCGTGGATGACTGCAGTACCCACTTCAAAGTGTTGGCTATGTTCATGCACCTAAAAGTTAGATATTATTAGTAATATTAATGTGTGCCCAAAGACACAAAGGGTGAGAGAAACGATGAATGGAGAACCACCTCTCACAGAATGTTCCACCCCTCGGGGTGACATGGTACCCTGGTTTCTGGAACAGGATATTTGGTCCATATCTGGCAGTTGGCCCTTTATGGGCTATTAATTACGGGCTATGAAGAGGCCTCCACAAGTCATGGGCTAGAAAAGGTCTAAATCAAGTGTATGTTCATTGACCCCATCCAGGCAGCTAAGTCAAGTGCTGTGTACTATAAAGTGGGGTGCCCAGGAAGCCATGGCTGCTATTTTAATGCTCAATGCTACAGATCAAGCTTTCGTTTTCCTGGGGCCTGCATAAGTGCTGATAAATTATTTATCCCAATTAGGTTACATGCTTTTATTTCAGCATGTCTGTGTTTATCATGGAAGTTCGATCTAATTGTGTAGTTCAGAGCATTTTCCTATTTTCTCCGTAAGACACCTCGCAGCACCCTTTCTCTACCTCCAAGTATAACTGTTGATATGCTGATTTGAGTATAGTCTTTGCAACTGGGTACTATTCTGAAAGATGAATGAATTTCATTCTGTCTTTAAATATTTATGTTTCTTTATGATCTAATATTTCATCACGGTGATGGGGAGGTTTTTTTCCCTAACTATAGAAAATACACCATCAGTTACCTGTCTATTTTGCTTAATAACTCAGCTTTGCAATTCTGGGGCACTGTTTATCCAAGGCCCTTGAAGACTCCTTTTGTCTCTCAATCCACTTCAGAGTGTCATTCTGGGATTTATAAAGGTCTTCATTGCACAGCGGATATTGAAACAGCAGGACTTAAGTGGCATACCCTTCATTACTTATCACACAGGAGGTCCCAGGACTAGAAACTCAGGCATCTTTCTTTTGTTGTTTGCTCCCAGCATGGAACAGCGGTCGCGGTAGAAAACCAGCCATTTACCCCTGGAAACAATTCATCAGGTTTTTCAAGAGAAATCCAATTTTACCTGGCCCGATGGGTTCGGTGTTACTTCTTAAGATAAATGGTGGAAATAGCAGCATGATAATACAAAGAAACCCAATTCTTTGGGTTTGATCTCATTGAAAAGCATCACAACCCACTTATTGCTTCTGTCTCCTTCCCTCATGCTTTTATGTCCTTGGCTCGAGGAGATGGGAATGGTTTTGGAACTATTCCCACACCAGACAGACCGGGACTCAGAGTCCTGGTGGGTTCAGAACCTTTGGGAATCCCAGTCCCTGGGGCTGAGGCCTCAGGAATCTGCACTTTTCATAGGCTCCCCTGGCACTCTACAGTTGGAGAGCCACCAATCTACAACTGCAGCTACCAGGCGCCTTCTCGCTTTGACAGAAACGTGAGCCCCAAATTCTCTCTCATTCCATTCGGTAAATCTAGATTTGAACCTGTGCTCTTCTTCAGCAGTTTTTTTAATGCATACGTAGGTAGTTCTGTAAATGGACAGCTCACTCGCTCACTTGTGCATCTAAGCGAAACCGAATTACATGATGTAGGGCTTCATTTTGCAAAACAGACAGGAAGCCATGGAGGCCATGTGAAGCCGCAGGATAAATATGATGCCTCTTCCTACAGAATGAGGTTTTTTTAAAAATAGTATTTTTTAATTACAATAGATGTGGAATAGGAGTAGTTCACATGGATTTTATGCTAAACGTGAAGCTTCAAGAAAGTTCCCGACTATGAAGGTCCCAGAATGTATTGCTCACCACAAGGACGGCTTGGTTCTCACCTAGGATGCTCTTTTTTCAAGATGCTGATGAAGAAGAAACAAATCCAAGGCCCCGAGCCCAACAGTACAAGATTTCCGAGCAGTGATCCTCCTAGATCTGCACACCCCTTCTCCCCCAGAGTTGCCTCGGGGCCCCTGCCCTGGCCCCTCAATCCTGGCAACACTGCCTTTCCTGTCAGGAAGAGAGAAGGAAGTAAACTTGGGAGACTCTTCTCTCCTTCTCTGGAAGGTTCCTCTGTCCTTCTCTGGAAGGTTCCTCTGTCCTTCTCTGGAAGGTTCCTCTGTCCTCTGGGGAGGCTCCCCTGGCCTCCTCTGGAAGGTTCCTCTGTCCTTTGGCTGGCCAGCCATGATAGCGTTGCTGGCTCAGACGCTGCGCTGACCTTTACCTCCTGGGTAACTTGTAGCCGCCGTGCAATTCATAGCCTCAGAGTCCAGTAGACTCGGCGAGGGGGAGTAGTGGCATAATGTTGGTTTTAAGAATGGCAAGTGGCTCCCACCGCCACCTTCTGTCTGCATCGAAGAGTCACTCTAATTCATGTTTCTCTTACAGGCCCTGCTCCACCACCCAGGCCAATGGCCTCAAAGCCAGATGGCCCTCAAGTCCCCAACTTTTTGCTAGAATTATAACCAGTGTCCTCCCAGGCCACTCTACGTACTGCTGTCACATTAATCTTCCAGAAGCACAACTTGGAATGGTGCCTCTGCTCTCGACAGAACCTTGGCGGGTGGGGGAACCTTGACTTAACGAGGCTAAAGTTCTTCAGTGACGTAACCAGCCTGATGTCAAACTCTCCACCTTCTGGCTTTACTGCCTGGCACAGTCACTCACTATCTTTGTGACACAGGGGTAGGTCTTCCAACTTCTGTATGCATTCAGTCTCCTTATCTGAGAAAAGAAAGCAGTAGCTCGCTAGGTGCAGTCAGGGTAGATGACAGTACATGGAAATTAATTTGTCAACAGAAATACAGTCATTATCTCTCTGCTTTTCATTACCTTTTCTACTTGCCTCTGAGCTATTTGAGGAAAAAAAGGCTACGTCTTGCTCATCATTATATACTGCTGTTACTATTATTACATTTTTATGAATATATTGTTATATTGCTAATAATAATAGTTCATGTTTATGGAGCATGTATAATTGTGTTGGGCACCATTCTAAGTGCTTTCTATGGATTAATTAATTCTTCCAATAACCCTAAGAGCTACCTCTTAAGGAGGAGAAAACTGTATTTCCCAGAGCCTCCAGTGGCTGGGTGAATGAATGAGGGACTGAATGAGACAAAAGCTGTGGGCAGTGCCAGCCAGATGATTGTTTTTCTTCCTCTTGGTTCCGTACCCCTACTTCCCTTTCTTTGGATCTCCTGAGGTACATGCACAATTAGGAGAAAGTCTTAAGTAATCTGAGACTCGAAAAGAGGTGAGGTCTCCCTGGGTCTTGGTGTAGACTTATTCTCATGAAGAGAGCTGTAGCAAGCACCAGGAGGACAGCGATCAGGTCTGCCTTGTTCTCCATTCTATCCGTAGGGCCTAAAATAAAACAATGCCTAGTGATGAATAAATGTTGATGGCATAAGCAAATGCAGTACTTTATAAACGCCATAGTCATTACCCCTCAACCTGCACATAAATTGCTGATGGTGAGTGGTGAGCATGCTCTGTCTGTCTTCCTCTCGCAGGCAATACTACGAGATGTTATACAACACGGCTGACGAGCTCCTGAACCTGGTGGTGGACCAGGGCGTGAAGTACACGGAGCTGGAGTATATCCACGCCCTGACGCTGCTGCACCGCAGCCAGACGGGTGTGGGGGACCAGACCACCCAGAACATGAGGCTGCAGCGACTCAAGGAGATCATCTGTGAGCAGGCCGCCATCAAGCAAGCCACCAAGGATAAGAAAATAACGACGGTGTAACGGGGTGCAGTGCATGGGGTCGGGGGTGGGGCATGGGCATTTGGGTTTCCTTAGTCATACTTACTGCTTTCTTTGCTATGTTATTTGGTATGTTCTGAGCTGACTTAGTTTTCTCTATACTGATGCTTTAGTGGAGAGAAGGTGTCAGGATCTTTTTTTCTCTATAGTTATGGCTTCTCATATAAACTCTAACGGGAGTTTGCAGTAGCGGATATTTTTACTTAGAACAACTTTAATGCAGTGGATTCCACAGGGACTAGGATGTGACAGGGAGGGAGGATGTGTCAAATCGGACTCTGAAAAAAGCGAATTTACAAATTACTCATGACCAACAGTCTTTGGAAAGTAGACGGCTACCTAAATTTCTGTCCCTTCCTAAAATCGCTTAATAGGGTTCTACTACATAAAAAGGAGGATTTTTTTTCTCCCTCGACTTTGTCAGTGTACAATTCAGTGAAATAAGTGTATGTGCTTTGCTGTCTGTCTCTATTGCCAAGATCCAAACAATGGCTTCTCAGCTGGCTGGGGTTTTCAACCAATTTCTCTAACCAAAACAGGACCTCTCCAGGGCTAGGGAAACAAAGTCCTTTGATGTCCATCCCTGGGAGAGTTTTGTATGCAGAAGCTCATACACAGGTTGTAAGTTGGTGTATTGCCTGTTTTGTTTTTATTTCTGCCGTATCAAAACCAAGAGCCATCAAATTAATGACAAAAATGGAAGTGGGAAAAGTGATTCAATCATCTTTTTGATTTGGCCCCTCTACTTTCCAAGAGAAAATAAGGGTTAGAGAACGTTTCATCTCACTTGAAACATTGTCTGAGTGTGAATGATTCTTAGATGCTCCTTTACTCTCCTTGCAAGCCCCTGGGTCTTTCTCACCTTAGAAGGGAGCCCAGGTCCGCTCAGCTGAACGCAAGGAAGATGGCGACAGCTCTGACATGCTCCTCTGCACCCACCAGCTGCGTTTCTGAAGGGCCCTTGGGGGATGTGAGAGCTCATTGGGCCTCACCAATGTCCCCAGGTCCTCAGGTGCTCTCGCAACTCATGGTTGGTATGTCACAGAAGAAAGCAACGCGCTGCCTTGAAAACATGTGGAAAGGAGAGCAAACACTTGGACCACACACGGTCATCCTCACGCCCTATTGGTCCAGAATTTTACACCTGTTTGTAAAACTTAACTGTGTTCTTGGTGGGAAAAACAGAAAATTAAAAAAATGTTTGAGAAGCTGCAATGTTGTGTGTTGTTTTCCTTGAATTCTTTATTCAGCAAATGTTCCCTGAGGGCCTACTATGTTCCAAATGCTGGTAGGTGTGGGGCTGCTACTAGGTAATGAGGACACTCTTACTATCTTTAATAGGACAGAAGATGAGAACCAGCCTGAGTGAGATCCCACAGCCCAAGCCCTGAGACATCCAGTTATACAGAATCTGTGGGGGTACCCTCCACCTGGAATTACTGCCCTCTGCTGAGAGACCTCATTCTTTCCTGAAGCTTTTCTCAGCCTGACAGTCATTAATTTATATCTCAACCAGCTTGGGAAGAAAAACTCAAATACAGCCAACTTGAATTGGCAACCAACCCTGAGAATTCTTACTGTCAAGTCGATATCCATGAATGCCGTAGCACTAATGCATTCATTCAGTCAGTCAAAAAGATATAATTGCCTGTCACAGCTCAGGTGATACGGGATTCATGCAATAGCAAGCAAAAGAGACAGTCCCTTGTAGCATGGAGTTCATGCTTGCACTCTGATGAAGAGTCACACAACTTCCACTTTGATAATCGCGTCCCCAGAGTCCATATTTCCCCCTCCATCTGCCAAAGCTATCCTTTCATTTAGGAAGAAATGTCATACAACTGAAGACTGAAATACACCTTCAGCCCAGCCCTCTGCCTGCTCTCTTCCAAGCTTTGCCCTTCTGGAAACTCCAGACTGTATCTCACTATTCACTCGTCCCTCCCTGGCTCGCACAGAGCCTGGCAGCTCACCCCTTACCATTGGTTGATGGAGAAAAATGGCTTCCCACCTTACAAGCTCTGAATGCACCAAGGCCATTGCCTTCAGGATTCTTTCTCTGAGGCACAATTATGCCTGCCTCTCCAGGACTAGGGCACAGCAATTCCATAGTACAGAACAGAGGGTGACAGGACTCAGACAAGCCCAAGCTAGACCCACTCCACGGGGGCCAAACATGAGGAGACCAGGAAAACGACTGCCCTCCTAGCAGGAGATGAACCAAAGGCATATCCTGGTCCACAAGGTTTTGCTTGAGAATCAAAGTGTGCAGAAATACACATACCTGAGAGCAGTTGTCTTAATGTGGCAGGAATGTAAAACAAATTGAACATAATTTGGAGGGAGTGTAATGAGGTACCAAGGACAAGAAAACAAAGAATGACTGGGCTCGGCCAAGGTCCTGACTCTGTCCTAATTAGGCACAGTTGTTAGAAGTACATAATTAATAAGTATGTGACCAGATGTGAAATGCAGCGGAGTCTTTTCCTGAAATGGAAGTTGTAATGAAGTATACACAGCTGGAAGCAGTTGTTCTAATTTGGCTGAGGCAGGAGGCCTGCCTGGGACTTTGCAGAGGTGTAGCAAGAGGCATGCTGCAGGTTTACACCTGAAAACAACTAATCCTGTTCCAACTGGACTGGGATGTAATGAGATATAGCTAATTATCAAGAATGTAATGAGATGCAAAAGCCACGGGACTTGAGCTGGAAATTTCTTTAAAAAGGAACTAAGCGGCAAACCCCAGACAAGAGTTTCTGCTAACAGTGCTAGGTGTGAATGTGATGAAATGCACGTGATTTGAGAAGTTGCTTTCACATACCTGGGCCAAAGACTGATGCCTGTACTCATAAATATTGCCAGGATCTTCATATACCTGGAGCGGAAGTCCCTGGGAATGGAGCAGGCAATGACCTGTAACAGCTGCATGTGTATTTTGTAATTGTTTACACAGCTTACGTGTGTTCATACTGCTGCAAAGAAAAATAAGAGGCCAGGTGCTGTCAAGTGAGTGTAATTTCCATTCCCGTTTAGAAATGTGGCCTCAGATTCCTGCTGACTTTGCAAAGATACTCTTGGAGGAGAAAAATAATTGGCCACCTCTTCATCCTTCCAGGCCGAGTTTTCTTTCGCAAGGATTTACTTACTGTGAGATATCAGGAAAACATTAGTACCTGTTTTCCGTTTTATTTATTTTATAATTGCTGTTATGTTCTTTGAGATCCCATTCGTTGAGCATTTAATAAATGTCAGATGCTGTGCTGAGTGCTTTACCACATTATTTCATAATCCTCACTATAACTCTTATGTTATCTTATCATCCCTACTTTATGGAGGAAACTGAAGCTCAGATTAAGGACTTGACCCCCAAACAGGTGACAATGCCAGAGTTCACGCTTGGAACCTGTCTATTCTCTATTCTGAGCCAGACCCTCTCTTTCTGTGTGACAAAGGGGAGGGAGGAACCTCACTTGTATTTGAGCTCCAAGTAACATTCTCTGGGAGCCTGACACCCCCAATCTGGCTTTAGAATCTGCTCAAAATGTCACCTCAGCCTTTTACAAGTGGTTTGCTGTTGTACAAGTTATTAAATGCCCTATCCCTCATTTTCGTCATCTGCAAAATGGGATAATAATAATAATAGCTCCTACCCAACCATGTTGCTGTATAAAGTAAGAGAGATGTTCTGGGCCTGGCACACAATAAATGTTACATATACACACAAAATGATACTAATATGATTCTGGTTCCTCAAGCCTGCTGCCTCTGTAGCTGGTAGTGAGTTCGCATCTCTGCCTCCCAGTGTACTGGGCACCTCTCCTTAAACTCTGAAGGCTTGAGCAGCCTTTAAGGACCAGACCTTCGCAGATGCTACGGCCGTCTGCCTGGCTTTGAGTTTGCTCTCACACTTCCCACCTCTGCTGAGGAATGTCAGATTATGGAATTCCAATAGGTTCACAGGTTACTCTGCGAAACTGAGGTAAGAAAAATGTCTCTTCCCCCCGACCCCCTAAATCTAGCTCTGAGCTCCTACTTACCATTCTCAGCAAAAGTCCAACTTCAGTCATTTTTTTGTGTGGTTTCCTAGAGGGGCGAGGGGGTTCCCTTCCCTTGTGTTGGGCCAACGTTCTGCTGAGGAAGCAGATCAGGAAAATAGGGTGATCACAATACCATCATCGGTGTGTCCTGATTATTTTGTCACCCGTTCCCTAGATGCCCACTGTCCTCAGTTACTGTGGCTCCAGATACAGAGGTCCTCCCTGATGTCACCAGGCTTCATTCAGTGCCCATCCTCCACAGGTATCCCCCAAAGTGACCCCCACCCAAGGTTCTGCCCCCTGGAAGGCACCGTGGAATCTACAACCTGTCCCTTCTCAGCTTTGAGGATCCAACACTCCACTGCAGGTTGGACAGTTCTCCCCTTTCCCCCAAAGCCAAAGCCTCTTTTCCGTTCTGCCGCTGGGAGACCCCAGGCGCCTGGGAGATCCCAGGCCTCTTCCTAAAGCCCAGACCTTTTAAAATAATAGCCTGCCGGAGGGACATTCCCAAATGACTCTCCTGTCCCCTCCCTTCCCTCCTCTTTTCTGCCCTGAGGCAGGAAGTTTGTTAGGCAGACCGCTGGGGGCAAAAGGAACCAGGCTTCCGGAGCAGCCCAGGTGAGCTTCCGGTAACGGGGCGGAGGAAGGGGGTGGTCCTTTTCTTCTCAGAGATGTCATCAGTCAATGTCTCAGTAACTGACTGTTGTGGATTCATAAGAGCTAGACAGAACTCTAGAGAGCTTTCCTGCAACCGTTTCACATTTCCGAGGGGTCAAGGGAAGAGGCCCAAGGAAGGCAGTGGGGACAGTGAGGGACTGAGGCGGGATCAGCACCCCGGGCTCTGGACAGCCAGCCCCGGGAGCCTGCGTCTGGGCGCTCAGACGTGCCCCACTCAGATACGCTACCGAGCAAAGGAGTGGGAGGCAAGATCCTGCCTTTGGACACATATCCACGTCGTGGAAAGAACAGAGCAGCACGTGAAGCAACTCTGGAATATTGTGAGCCAGCATAGCGCCAGAAGCTCACTGCGTGGTTCATACTAAACACTTGAGGAATTCAGAAAAACGAAGAGTATTGTAGACTGGTGTTCGCCAGATACAACTTAATGGAGCAGGTAAACTGGACTGTGGTTTAGAAGAAAATGGAGAGCTAGGGCAGTGATGGGGGGGATTTGAGAGGAAGGGGTGCATTGCGACAAACCCTACTGTTTAAAAAAGTAAGCAAAGAAAATGAAGCAAAAACAGAAAACTCAGAAGTATGAGGAGGAACAGCAGAGTCCAGTCATGAAAACTAGTCAAGAGGGAACACTAGTCAGGGAGGAGGCCCAGCACATTGGGGGTTCTGTGGTTATTTGTAAACCTTGCTGTGGGTCACTTGATACATAGGATCTTTGCACCCCCTGGAATTAATTACATGTATGCAGCATTCGGAGGGATGGTTTGTTAGGGCCTGATATAAAAGAAACAGTTTGAGATTTTAATTAGATTCTCAATAGCTCCTGATTTCCACCTTCCATGAATACAGTAGGATAGCTTTTCTACCTCCTTTGTGTTTGGGTGGGACCTTGTGATGAGGTGGCCAGTGAGTTGTGAGTAACAGTGTGTCACTTCTCAGCCAAAGCATGTAATTGCGTGTGTGCAATGCTCCAGCGCCCACCACCTCCTGTGCCACAGCATCCAGCGGCGTTCCAGACAGTGTGCTTGTGTCCCAGAGGGAGGAAGAAGAGACAGAGCAGAGCCCCCGCTGACCTGCAGTGGACATGTGATGTAAGCATGAAATGAATCCTTGTTGTTTTAAGCCATTGAAATTTGGGGATTGTTTGTTACTGCAGCATAACCTCGCCTAGCCTGACTAATACAACAAAGATGCTCACCATGATGTGGAGAGCAGATAAAGCAAGGGAGGATGAAGTTATCACATCAAAGAGAACAATTTGAGTCGAGTGATGGGAACGGGAGCCAAATTAAATTTGGAGGTTGAAGGGAGAAAAGATGGTACTTTGCCAATATCAAGGGCTCTGTCAGCACACACTGGTCCTAGAAACAGAAGCAACAGGGATGTATCCTGGAACCCCCAGTCTTTTGCTTTCTCTGCCCACTTCCTGTCACTCCTGTAGTATTAATGAGCCATATATTATACATAGGTCTTAGTTCAGTGTTTCTAGCTCCTTCTAGGAAA